CGCTCCCGTGGCTGGGGCTCGTGCAGGGACGGTGCAGCGCTGGGCCAGTCCCGGGCACCGTGGGGAGAAACACGCGGGGCTCTAGGGCAGTCACTGCAGAAAGAGGCGCTTGTCGTGTTAGCAAGCTGATGTTAGACTGCCAGAATGTGAGACACTCCAAATAAACTATGTTTTTAGCATTTGCTTCTATGTATGTCTTCAAAGACAAATGAGTATATGTGGTGTCTTTAATGGGGAGCAAAACTCAATAATATTTATAAAGCAATTTAGCCATTGGCATTCAGGTACAATTTACCAATGAGGCAATCAGGGGCCAGAAGAAAAAGAATATGCAAGTTCTTTATCATATGGACTTTTTAGATCATTTGTTTTTCTGACGGACGCTCCAGCTCAACAATAAATTGTTCTAATTGCCAAAATTCTGAGTAAGACCTGAGATTATGTGGCTGCTCAGACTAGACAGTTCCACACACCTCGGAATCTGTGGCACTCAGCTAGCTCATACTGCTCAGCTCACCCCACTGCACTGAGCAGGCAGACTCCTAAAAGGTCTGCATTAAAACTCCTCTTAAATAAAAAGAAGCCCATGTGGCACAAGCAGTTATTTGATGGGAGCTGCACCTTTCAGACTGAAACTGTACTGAGTCACTCATGATTCAGAGTTGTTTTGGATTTAGGAGAATATGGAAGAACGCAGGGGAAGGGTGGCTCTTATAACCTGTCTTTTGCTATTCTTGTTTGCGCTTTCCAGTTCAGGAAGGTACAGACGATGACAGATAAAAAAAGGCCAGAAATAGTAAACTTATCCATTTAGATATTTGTGGGGAAGAGCACAAACATGCAGACAAAAATTGCACGCTAGAAGAATGTCTAAACTCCATTGATGGTACAGGGAACTTTGCTGCTAACTTTGATCTACTCAACTGCACTTGCATTTGTCCCTAAAATAGCTCATCTCCTCCCATGAGTCAGATTTTCAAAAAAGCTCAATGTCTGTGTAGACACTAGCATTTGGGCCAGTTTTCCAGGAGCTCAGCATACTGGCTGCTCACACAATGCAAAAGGCTTTCCGAAAAAAAAAAAAATCTAGTCCTCCCGTAGACACCCAAACAAGAAACCAGACTCTCCTGTCTTTAAAGTACAGTCCCTCGTGAGGGGCTCTATCCAAACAAGTTATTGTAGGTGGGCTTCACTACCAGTGAAATGTATGTGGCTTCACACACAGTGAGAGAAATACATGTGGCTTCACAAACAAATGTTTGATCATTTTCATTGCAGTGTCTCTAGGATTTTATAGTTGCGAAGAGCCCCACGGGCTTCTCTGCCTTCAAGATACCGTGTTGTGGGCAGTGCCGTGGTGTGGGAAGACAACGGAGCAGAGTGGGGCAGCACGGAGGTAAGTGCATTTCTCTTGGCGTGATAGCTTGGGATGATGAGTCAATAGTGGGGAGAGGATCCAGACATCTAATCATTGCTATAGCTGGTGGCCAAGAGTTCGTGCAATTATTGGAAATGATCTTCCCTGCAGACTCCGAATGTGTGAGCTTAGTGGGAAATTAATCATAAAAAATTACTAATAAGTAGGAATTCTGTGGAAAGGAAGAACACACACGTTTCCCCAAGCTTTGTGGGACTTTATGCAAGTCTGATGTTAATTTATATTTAATCAATCTTAGTCCATTCTTTTACTAAGTTTGCGCTTTCTCTGTTGTTACAAAAAAGATGAGCGTTTTGTGTCTGGATCCCAGTGTCAATTATTTAAAACATAAATTATTTAAAACATATATACTTTTTCCATGTCCAAAGAAGAACAATTTTGTATTCAGTATCAATACTCAGGTGAACAGATAAGCAGTGAAGAGCAGGAGGGAAAAATGTGAGGCTCCACATTTAATCCTAACTCTGAACAGTGTTTTGTTACATAATTTTGTATCGCATTATCTAAGAAATACTGTAATATTCATCATACATTTTTGCTAATCTCATGCAGACTATGTTTAACACCATGTAATTTTCTTTCATTCCACTATTCCTCATTATATTTCATTAGCATGATTATGATTCTTCACTACCTTTGTGCAGCTAGTGCTTCTCTCTTCTGTGAGTGGACTAGGTCCTCCATAAGCAGTCATATAAACCACCTCAATTGGGAATATGGTTCCTGGTATATTAGTCCTGTAAAGGGTAAATGAAATATAATTTTCTTTAAGCTCTTCTCATGCTTTCTTTATGTACTAAAATAAATCTGCACCACTTCATGACTCTGACATATCCTCCTGCCACCCCATCCTCCCCATCATGTGTACAGTTCTGTCTCAAACACCCTGGAAGAGGTATAAAAAGCTGCCTGCCCCTCCCCCCCCTTCTCTCTGCCACTTGCTTTGAAAAGGAGAAGCCAGTAGGTCCTTTCAGCAGGCCGGAGTGGCACATGTAGGGTTACTACTCATCCATGCCGAATTACCTGCCTGTGGGGCAAGCGTTCAGTGTGCGCCATTCTCGCGTTTCCTCACTGTGCCAACAAGTCCTCCCTTCTCTCCGCCACAGTCAAGCTGGGGGTAGTGATAGTTTAGCCTATATGAATGCCCACATATGAAATATTAATGCGGGGAGCACAACACACCATAGTTGCAATTCAGTGCATGAGGCAGATCAGTGTGTTCTTGGGGAACACAGATATTTAAGCTGCCCATGAGCCCACATAATTGCCTGTAACTGCAAGTAAGGGATATGGGGCACTGAACTGGAAGGTAACTTACCTAGCAGCCCGGGTGGACAGGTTACATATATGAACAATTTTTCAGTGTTCGTGAAAGAAACAGTACCTTTGGCTAATCAGCTCTGACTCCATCTTCGTCCTGGCATGAAATGCTTCAAGGCTTTCATTTTATGTTTATCTAGCAATAAGAAAGAAATAAAATAGTTTGGAAAGGTGGTAACTTGAGAAGTAGAATATTCTTATATATTATTATATATTTGAAGTCAACAGCTCAAATTTCAATTAATACAAATTGAATACAAATACAATCAGAGTTATTCCATTAACTTCAATTTATAATACTGACGAATTGGCCCTTTATCATGAGACAAAACTTGGAGGGCTCACAGAATACATAAAAGGTCTTGAAACAATTTTTGATAATTTGATTATTAGAATATTTTTAAGACTTTTTGTTTAAAAGGAAGACAGCAGTAAAAACATACAAAGTAGTTTGCTGTCACAGACCTTGAGGTTTTGCTGCTTTATGAAGAGTTTTCACCAGCACCTATTAATGGAATCTGGAATTATTTAGACAGACACTACCAGGTACCTGTAGAAGGACCCTCTCTCCTGGACAATTCAGGTTAGCTTTATGAACATTCGCCTGGGCACACAGGCATGTCTTAGAAAGTATTTTTTCCCTAGGTTTTACCCAGTTAGTTTAATTGATGCAGTATCAGAATTCAGAGCTCAGAACTAAGCAAGAGATGGGAAGGGAAAAGGATTGCACTGAGTTGTCCTTTATCCCTTTTTTGTTCTGGCAGTCACCTGAAATCCACAGCATTTTCAGTAATTCTTCTTAGGCATCATCAAAAACTGTGCTCAATGAACACTTAAAATTTATTCCACTGAACTTTCTCACAAGTTAGCACAGAAGTGACCTCTAAAATCCTTAAATCCCCTAAATCTAAAATAAAAAATAGTCTTTCTTTGCCTTGCCTTTTCTTGTGTCAGACCTGACTTCTGTTAAAATGGTTCATCACATGATAGACCCTCAGTGGATGGTAACCTCAACAACAGTAGTATTCCTATGTGAATTATTCTTTACCCCAAGATACTGCTTGCTGACTTAGGTGAAATTTCTTTCATTATGTTATTTGAATTTTACCTATCTAGCATTTCAATAACTAATTTTGAATAACATGCTGTGTATTGAATGTGTTGTCCAGTATTGAGAATAAGTGTTTAATGATTGGATTTATTTTCTCTTATTTCAATGCTACTTTAATAATCACAATGAATTCACTAACAAGTGAATTTTGCAGAAGACTAAATAGAATTTTTGTTTCACTGCTTCTAATTTCTATGTTGGTTTCATTGTCTCTTTTAATTGTTGTGAAGCTGATAGCTCTTTCTATTTCTCCAGAGACCAACAGAAGAGAAAAAATTATCATCTCTGGTAATTTGTATCATTATATTTCTAGTCTCCATGGAAACCCCTGTCCTGCTCCACAGCCATGTAACATTTCAATATGTTGCAGGATAAATCAGATGGAAGGAAAATTTGGTTCTACACCTTGGCTGTTACTCAATTAAAAATTGCTTGCATAGTGTTTCGAGGCTATTTTCAGTAACAAGGGAAGAAATTGAAGTAGTAAAATTAAGGTATTATGGCCTGATTCTACATACCTATGCACATAACTGCACTTGGTTTGATTTTGATATGCACCGGCATTAATTTGAAAGAATTCATTGATTTTAATAGGATTATTTGGATTGATACTATGGAAGCTGAAGGCATAATAGCAAACTCTTTGTCAAATTGAGTCTTAAACAGGTTGAGGTTTAAAGCTTGACGGAGAGGTAATAACAATCCCTTCTTTGTAATTTATATAACATTCTGAAAATCAAGAATATTACAGTCTGCATCCTTCTCTGTCATGACTCTTATCCTTCCACTACCAAAGAAGAAATATATCTCAAAACCGTTTTCCTCTGAAATAACACAGTAACTTCACCTACCTGCCTGTTCATCATCTCCCTGTTTATTCCAAGCTTTATCGACTTGAACATAAAGGCACATGGTCCAGCTGGGACAGCAGATGTGATACAGAAAAATAAATACATGCATAAAGATGGGCCTTACTTTGTAACCACAGACAACCCATGAAGAGTAAGTGCACTCAGCCATATACAAGTAAGTAAAAATATATCATAATGGAAATGATGCAACCTCCTGTAAACCTCTAAGTATTCCTACACAGACAGCCATGATAATAAGAAACATAAAGAAATGCATAAATTAGAGTTTTCTAAACATTTAACATTTGAACAATGAAAATTGCGTAATCATCTGAGAATTGCACTAAAACAGTGGTGAAATGCGGTTGTGATTTATCTTATTAACTATAACCAAACTACAAAATATGAATGTTTCATATGCATTTTGAAGGTATTGAATTTTTTTTTTCAGAATTCTGTGGAGAAAATGTATACTAGTCGAGAGGATATTGGATATGATTTTGGAGATAACTCAAAAGATGGAAGTAAGACAACTCAACCTAATCCAAACATCGATGGAGGATGGGCTTGGATGATTGTACTTTCCTCTTTCCTTGTGCACATCCTTATCATGGGGTCCCAAATGGCCCTTGGAGTGCTCAACATAGAATGGCTGGAGGAATTTAATCAAAGCCGAGGCCTAACAGCGTGGGTTAGCTCCCTCAGCATGGGCATTACACTTATTGTAGGTATGTTCCAGCATAATTTATTTCAGAACTACATAGACTTTTTAGAATATATGCCACTCAGAGCCCTCAAATATATTTTTGATGTTTCCATATTTATTATTGAAACTGAGCAACTTCTTTTGAGTTGCCTTTTTAAAGTCACTACAACCAATTTTAAACAGAGGGATGAATTTTAGTGGGAGACAGGAAGGAAAAGAAAGGAAAACCAGATAGACTTTAGATCTACATTTCGTAGAACAGATCTACTTTTTGTAAAAAAACAGATAGACTAGGAGTCAGGGCAGGTAGGGAAGGATGCTTGTGACTTAAAGGCCTCAGGAAAAAAAAAGAACAAAAGCTTGTAGTCCTTTTTGTACTCTATTTGGGAGGGAGTCATATGTTGAACTTGACTGAACCAATTTGTATTTTAGTTTATCAGCTGAACTAAAATTTATTTTTTAAATTGTGGTTGGATCAACCACAAATAAAACCAAATAAAATCAATAGAGCTGCATATATGTGTGCATGCATAAACACACAGACATACCCGTCTATCTCTCAAAATTAATTTTGAATAAGCTGAGCTTACGTCTGCCCGAGCTACTCCAGTGAATGTGAATGGAGGAGTCTTACATTCTAGTCATATGTAAAAAAGTTCAGCACTCACATAGTATTAGTATCAGGAACAAAGGTTTCAGTTTATTCCTTTTTTAAAGCATACTCCATCCTTAAAGAGCAATTTTGAATTTAGATTCTATGGGCTAAGAACTTTGTTGACTGACTTTTTCTTTCCACAATTTTGAGCAGTAATAGGGAAAATAAATTGAATTGCATAAGTAATCTGAGGTATGACATTTTTAGGACGTAATAAGGTAAGAATCTTCATGTGAAAAATTATTAAAGACTGTAACTAGATATTTAAATAAATAGCTTGCCTTTTTTTTTCCTCATGTCATTTAACAGGTCCTTTCATTGGTTTATTCATTAGCATGTGTGGGTGCCGCAAAACAGCAATAATCGGAGGGATACTTAATGCCCTAGGTTGGATACTGAGTGCCTATGCTTCAAATGTGCACTGCCTCTTCATTACGTTTGGAGTGACAGCCGGTAAGCTGTGCTAACATTTGAAAGATCTTTTAATTATTTTAATGCCTTTCAGAAAAGATCATCTGGTGAGCAAAATGAGCAAAGAGAGAAGTTAAACTGGTTCTGGAATCTTCTTTTTTCCTAATTGAAAAAAAAAAAGATTTAATTATGGAACGTAACTTTTGTTTTTAGCTTATTCAGCTCTCAGGTGATCTGGCATTCCCCTATAATTATAGGCATAATAGACACCTTTCATTTCAGTGGAATCATTTCAGTTTTTCTTGTACACTTTTTATAGCCTGTTAACTTTCTAGAAAACTTCTATATTTACTAGATCAGTGGATCAGACCCAAAGGCTTTTGTTGTCATGAAAATCTGCCAGGTGAAGATGATATTTTTATCAGCCTCTCCCAAGTGAACATATTAGATGACAGAAAAATTAATGTAACCAAAATTCTTAAAACTACAATTTAAAGATGATAAAATACTTTGGAATTGTATATATAGCTAACAACTCTCTTTGTCATTTAAAGAAACAGCTAATGTTTTCTACAGGAGCTGCTGCACATTAATGAAATATCAGAATGAGATAACTTATGTGCTGATAAAAAAATATTGTAAAGGGTGTAGCCCTGTGTTTTGCAAAAATAAAGACGTGTTCATCTATTTAGTTTTTCATTAAAACTGTGTGTTTACTGTAAAAAACTAAATAGATAAATGTGCCTTATTTTTGCAAATAAGTTACTGTGTGTGTCTCCCCTTCTATATCCTGCTGGTAGATTAGATCTGCTTGAATCAGGACCATGCATGCAGTCTTTTTCCATACATAGTCTCTAAAAAAGCATATTCAGATTAGAGGAATAACCACTAATAAATAACAACTAATTTTACTACAGGCTGTGAGATGGAGGTGGGAGAAATGGGTAACATAATTTCCTTCTGAAGGATTTGTTGGAGGACTTGATTATTTGGTTAGGCCACACTGCTGCTTAATAGCTGTCGCAATCTCTAGATAACTGTTTTGCCGAATTTTGCAGCCTGCTGTAGTCTTTTATTACTCACGCTTCTTTTCTGGAAAAAGAAATTATTAATAGATATGATTCAAAAATGTTAAAATGCTCCAAATAATAAAAATAAATTTAGGCCTTTAATTATTACCTGAGAAACACTGAGCTTGAAAGAGTTTTAAATAGATAATATGGCCAGTTCTGCTTGCAAATGAAGCCTGGTATCCATGTTATATATTAAAAAAAAAGTTTGTAATTTTTGTGATAGCTTTTGTAATAGCTATTTTTGTAATAGCTTCAAGACGCTCCAATCTCCTCAAATCCCATCTTAAGCAGAATTGTACAGAATCCTGAAGATTTTCTGTACATAATTTTTATCTAGCTCTCTGAATAGACAGGAGTTGAGTCTAACAAGACTCACAATTATCACTGTCATTTACTTTCTAAGTGAGCATACTGTAAGTTCCAGGGCAAAGAACAGCCATTACAGGGGAGGTGCAGCCCTCTCGGCAATGGTGTTTACACACATGTGACACTCAGCAGGCGGGAATCCGCACGCTCTCCTTTTCTCAACCGTCACAGCTTTCATAAAAAGAATATTGCAATAAATTGAACACAGAGGCAGAGAATATAGAGAGAATTTGAAAAGTAAGGTAAAAACCTATGTTTTCAGGAGCAATCTGAGGTAAATTTCCACATGAGATAGAAAAGTGAGATAATGGTGCCAGAGTAATTCTGGGCAGAAAAGCGGTGTAGAGCTGCCTGAGGTGTTGCCTCCATCTCTGAGAGGCTTCCAGCCACCCTCGCCTCCCTCACCATGGTCTCCCTCACCCTCTTCTTCCCTCACTGTCCCCTCCTTCACCAACCTCTTCTTCACCCTCTTCCCCTCACCCTCCTCCCCCCTCACCATCCTCTCCCTCACGGTCCCCCCGCACTTGCCCTGCTGCCCCCAGCTGCAGATGTGTTGTCGCCCCGAGCTCCCTCTCCCGAAGCGGGAGTCCTCAGCAGGGCTCCTGTCGCTGGCTCTTGCCCTGGCTCCCAGGCCCAGGACCACTTACGTTGCCCCAGCCCAGCCTCTCCTCCAGCTTGCAGGGGCCGAGGGGCCACCAGTCCTGTGTCCTGGCCTGGCCGGGTCTCTGTGGAGAACTGGGTGCTGCTGCCCAGGAGACCCCCTTGTTCAAGCTAAACATGGCAGTCCTGTGATGTGGCCAAGGGCTGCCCATTCCCACAGCCCGCAAGAGCGTCGAGTTCACAGAGCAAACCGAGCAGAGGCGCCCACATGAGTGTAGTCTGTGTTCACGGGTCACCAAGTCCCGCTCCCGCTTCCCTATGTAGCCCAACACAAAGAATAAAAAGGTTTAACAATTTATAGAACTTCATATTTCTCAGGACTTCCGGGAAGTGCAGTAAATATTACTGCGAGCAAGTGGAAGGGCGGTGGGAAACCAGGACACCACAGAGCTGCTTCTTAGTCTGTGGCAGAGAGATCTGTGAGGAGAGAGGCCGTGATCTGTGAGGTTTTGGCTGGATTTGGTGAGGGAAAGTTCCTGCCAAATAAAACCTGATCATGTATCTCCATGGCAAAGACATAAATGCTCCAGGAGGTAGAACAGGCCTGCTCTGATCACAGGACATTGGAATGACTTTGAGGTGCTTTTTGGACCTGGCTAGAATGGCAGCCAGGTCTTTGCCAAGTCTGCCTGCAAGGTATGATGCAGCTTAGTTATTAGGAAAACTTTTAAGCCTAAAACAGTTTTTTAAGTTATGACCATTGTGAATTTGAAAGCAACAGCTCATATACCATCCATAAATCCAATGGATTTGCTGTAAGAGGAAAAATGTGCATCTGTTGCAAGTCACAAATTAATTATGTGTTTGCAGGACTCTCAAAACTTTCTGCTTGAAACAGGGTATCATCAACCTCCTCTTTTCTAATTACAAATTACAAACTTCCTATATAATTCAAAATATGCCTTTTAAGAATATGCCTTTTGAGGATTATAGAATCAAATTATCAAGGATTTATTATTTTATTATTAATTTATGCTATTAAAACTAATGCTTAATAATAATCAATACTATTAAATATTAATAATTATTTATCATTGGGGATTATTGAATCACTTTTGCAATGATGTGGCCCCCCCTTACATTTCCTTAGCTCAGGAGAATCCAAAGAGAAGCTCGGATGCTGCTCAAGGTCCCAGCATTGCGCTGAACCACCTACTGCCTGGTGAAATGTGTGGCCCTGTGCCTCAATAACTACAAAGCGAAGGGGCAAAATCAGCTGTAGATTTTCTCTGCAGGTGAACTTAAGCAAAAGCAACATGTGACCCTAAGTGATTTCTGATCACTACTAATACAATCAGATGCAAGTATTGTAAATAGATGTATTTCAAAATACGGTTTATTTATGTTTGTCTATCACTGTCATTATGTTTAACTGTCACTGACTTATCGTGGGAGCTTTGGTGCTTTCTGGTGATGTTCCACGGAACTGAGATAAAGATTTTATGTTCAGTGTGCTTCAGTTTTTCCAGTAGATCAACAGCAGTACTGTTTCTCACTGGAACGTGTATCTAACATTTTGGAAAATGCTAAATGAAAGTTAGCATGAGAATTGATCATCTATTCCTCATTTTATTATTTTTACTTGCACAAAATTTAGCAATAAATCCACTATGTTTGTTGCTAGTGTGACGTTTGCTGGTGCTATTTATCTTGCTGGCAGAAAGTTGAGATTTTTTGCAACTTTTACTTTATTAGGTGTTGGAAGTGGCATGGTTTATCTACCTGCAGTGGTCATGGTGGGACAGTATTTCCAGAAGAGAAGAGCACTTGCACAAGGACTCAGTACAACAGGAACGGGGTTTGGCGCTTTCCTAATGACTGCTTTACTGAAGTACCTTTGTGTGGAATTTGGATGGAGAAACGCAATGTTCATCCAGGGAGCCATCGCCCTGAACCTCTGTGTCTGTGGGGCACTCATGAGACCACTTTCTTCCAAAGAAGTTTCTGTGAATGAAGAGTGTATTGGGAGAAATCATAGCGAAGTTAATCATGCAAAAGCTCTATCCCATTCCACAGACACTGTAAAATCTAACGGAGTCTTAAATGGAGAACAGGAAAAAAAAGAAGAGGCAACAAATGAAGAAGTGCTTGACAGTGTTCAGCGCAGAGAAAGTGGAGGTGAATCTAGAAGTGGAAAGCATATGTACGGACTGTGCATTCTTAAGAGAGTGAGCCAGCTGACAGTTACGGTCAGGAAGGGGTTTGGAATATGGTACTCCAGCTACTTTGGAGCTGCATCACTGTTTACCAATAGAGTGTTTGTGGCCTTCATAATTTGGGCTTTGTTTGCCTATAGCAGCTTTGTCATTCCCTTTATTCATCTTCCAGAAATAGTCAAGCAGTACAATTTATCAAGACAGAATAACGTATTTCCTTTGACATCAATTATAGCCATTGTTCATATCCTTGGTAAAGTGATCCTTGGCATCATCTCTGATTTACCATGCATCAGCACTTGGAATGTCTTCCTCATGGCTAACTTTACCCTGGTCGCCTGTATCCTTATTTTGCCATTAATGCAAACATACATTGGTCTGGCTGTGATTTGTGCTCTAATAGGATTTTCTAGTGGCTATTTTTCCTTAATGCCTGTTGTGACTGAAGATTTAGTTGGAACTAAACACCTTGCAAATGCTTATGGCATCATCATTTGTGCCAACGGAATATCTGCATTGCTTGGACCACCCTTTGCAGGTAAAAAAGTTCAATTATCTAACCAGAGATGTTTGTATTACATGACCACCTGCCTGTCTATATTATTCATCTTTCTTACTTTACAAATATGTAGTTAACAAAATTACACCTGCTGCAGTGCCAACTGTAGGCTCCATCTTTGCACTGTATATACTAACAGATTACATTTGCTGGCTATTCACACATTATAAATTATTATTCTTGCAGATAACTTATATGTATTACAGCTATCCTTTCAGTAGTTTCTTTAAAATATTATCATTCACATATTTTTAAAAGATGAGAACAAGTCAACCTCTTGTTTCAGAGTAAGCAGGTATTTGTACCATACTATTACCATCTAAGAACTGTAAATTAGACTGGACCTTCACCACTTTAAGATGCCAATAGATGGATTGATTCAACTTATTTTCTGCTGAACTGGCTTTGGCTTTCCTTCAGCCATCCATTATCTATTTTTGGGGCTGCATTGCCCATAATATCTTACTGCCGTCCACAGCAGAATGAAGAAGGTGTCATGTCATTGTTAAAGTCACTTAGGTTGAAACAAACATTCATTCTAAATTTATCCCTACAAAGAGGTGGAGAGTTACAGGACAGGAAAACATACTGATTATCCATACTATAGTCAGACTATGGCTAGCTTTTACAGATCTGTAAATAAATATTTTAAAAAAGGCATTAAGAAGCCTTATCAGTTATGGTCATGGTCAGCAAGGCATGGCATTATGCTGAACTAAAGCTACCAACAGCACAACAATTACCTTTCTCTTTGCGACATGAAAGTGCTAAAATCATTTAGAAGAAAGCTCATTCATTATCCATTGAAAAGCAGCAATGTTTTACTTTTTATCCACTTTTTATATCACCCCTCAGTCTCGTTGAACATTTCTTGGCATTTGGTCTCTAGTAATGAAGCAAATAACATGCAATTATTTGGTGGAAAATAAGCTTCTGATCTCAAGATCACATTGCAATGCAATTAGCATGGCATGAGAAAATTTTTCTAATTTGTGTTTTCAAACCTATCTGAAATAATTTTAAGGTAGTTTTGCATGTGCCAAGGAATTGAGGTCGAAATGAGAGTTATCATGGTACTGAGGTTTTATCTTTTGAAAAATCATTTATCTGTATCTGAGTCCTTGGGAATGATTTTGCTTGCACAATGATACCACAGAAGTAGTGTCAAGCATCTTACAAAAACAACAGTGGGGTAGAGTAAGTAATTGGTCTGGGATTCCAAAATATCTTTTAAAGTCAGATCTATTATTCTCAGATATCTGAAAAATGTAGAACTTTAGAGATAATATTGCTTGACTTCTTAAGACCACAGAGCACACAAAGCTGCAAGTCCCATTTTAACATTTCCATAACACTTAAATGACTGAGTTGCTCTCTACTAGTTCTAGGTGGTGGCAAATAAAGAGCACATTTTGTTAACACATTTCTATTTGTAACATCTACAGAAAACCACCTGTGTTTTTTGTTTTGTTTTGTTCTTTGCCACAAAAAAAGCAAAGATTTGGCTGAAATGTCATAACAGAAATGTGCAATATTGTTCATATATTCCCATGCATTTTTTTCTCGTTCTCAAGCTTTGTAACGCATATATTTTGTCCTTATTTTGCAGGTTGGATCTATGACATCACACAAAAATATGATTTTTCTTTTTACATATGTGGCTTGCTATACATGGTGGGAATAATATTTTTACTTTTCCAACCTTGTATTCAAAAGGAACAACCAAGACAAAAATCTACAGAAGAGGCACAAGTATAGAGCAATGGTACAGATTTTTTTTCTACAAAATTTTTTGTTTTTATGTTTCTATTGTGTGGTAGGATAAAGCTGTTCTTATGGAACAAATCACACTGAGCTGCACTAAAGTGAAGACAAAGCATGCTTCGAAACGCTAATAAATTGTTAGATATAAACTTTTAAAGTGAGTTAAACTTTTTTACTTTAGAACAAATAGAGAATTAGAAACACACTACCTGTCTTTTAAAATCTGAACAGTGGTAGAAGATTCTCTTAGCTTTTCACCACTACACACTGGTGAAACTCCATTGACTGCAATGCAGTTATGCTGGATTTACAAAAGTCCTAGAAGAGAATCTGATCTGGATATGAATGATGCACATAAATCCTTCCTATTATGTATGCTAGTTGATAAAAGATTATTTACTGAGTAGAAGACGACGACAGTATTTCTTCTGACTAGTCTTTACCACTGAAATACTAGTACAATAATTTGATTAATTTAAGGTATTAATAATACTATTTCTGTGATGAAAAAATGAAACAGAAATATTTTTCTTTTCTCAAAGGGCTCTCTACGTAGTTTTTAAGTATTAACTATGTAATAAAGTAGCCACCTTAATATACAGGTTGCATTACTGTCACTCAACGCACCTAAAGTAAAACAAACATAAAAGCAAAACTAGGGAATTACTAGAACTTTAATTTGATTCGTCAACAGAAATGAAGAGCAGCAAAGTCTGATTATCTGTTACACTAGGTCCACATACTCTATTTGCCACGTTTAGATACAGTGATTTCTGAAATTCTGATTTCAGTTCAACTACTCAAGCAGTTATTCATGATTTATATTGATATAATGGAGAACAGAATTTGGACCTGTGCATAGAGTGTCTTCTTGCTTACTGAGATTTAGCTATAAAAGGATTGACCAGATCCAATGTAAATTATTGTATTTGATTTAACTGGCCTAGACCATGACAGGTGCAGAGACAGCTGAAATCAGTAAAAATACTTTCTGTATATCTGAATACTTTCTGTGTTTTCAAAGTTATGCTTTAGAAAGCTTTCTGGCTTGCAGTCCTTTATGATACAGAAATAATTTACTTTCAATGCACAACTGCTCCTTTGATAAATCTCTAATACAGTAACTAAAATATAAGAGAGAAGATAGTATCCTGATATGGTATATCCAGTTTCTTAAGCCTGTCTTCATAGTTCGATGCCTTACAGTGGAAGCGATTTCCCGGACTGGAAAATGATTCTAGAAACAAGTTTAAATTTCTGGCTGCTTTACCCAAGTAGACATATTGTTCAATTTTGTATCATTTCTTTGATTTCTTCTGTAGGAATTGCTTATGCTCAGTAATCAATACTAGAGAAAAAGGCACCAAATATTTTAAAAGAACATGCATGCTAGTACATTCAAGTACAGCACGCTAAGTTTAGCTAAAATTAATTTCAGAATAAAAATGTTAAATTATGATCAGTTGTGTCACTATATGCAAGTACAGCATGAACTGGCTAGACTAGTCACCAATACTAAAGAAAGAGACACCAAATATTTTAGAAAGAATTGCAGTATAGCATGTTAAGCTTTGCTAAAATTAATTTCAGAATAAAAAATATGAAATTATGATCAGTTGTGTTACTATATGCAAGTACAGCATGACCTGGCTAAGACTAGTCACTTTAACATTTACTTGCTTGAGAATTAGATAATTCAAAGTAGGAAAAGCTAAAGAACATTTAAAATATTTAAATGAATTGTCCTAAACACTACACACCGGATGATCAGCACAGGTTGGTTTTGTAGCATTGCACAACACAGTCTTTCTCAGCTTTGGGAGGTTAAGCCGATGTTCATTTCCAGAAGTCAAATAATAATCACTTGATAGTTCTTTTTGTCATGTTCTCTTTATTGAAGTTCTTTTCATGATACCCTGGGTTTTTAGTTTAATACTACTATACTGAAATTCTGTAAAAACAATTGATACTCTTCAAAATAAATGGAATAGCTATTGGCAGGCAGTTCAGCATGGCATAATATGATTATAGTTGGAAGGCTGGTTAACAGGTTCTGAACCTAGACTTACATGGTTCCATATTGTAATGCACCAGCTTCTTGGTTCTGCACTTCTGCAACTATGGGAAAGGGGCATGCTTTTAAGCAGATCATTGAAAAAAGTCAAGTTATAAAGGAAAACATTACAAAAACCCTGAAATGCTTCAAAAGCTGCATCAGTTCAGTGACATAGTATAGTATGTATGGCTCTCAAAATTAATATTAGAACAACTGAGATGGTATTGAATTGCAATGAGCAGCATGAAGAAGCAGTCAGTAATCTCTTAAAATCAGTTTTGTTGCTGGAGAAAATATTCATGTCATGTAAATGACATTTACATCAGGTCTTTAGTTAAAGGTTTAATGTCTTCTTGGTGGGAATGCTGCTACCAGATTTTAACTGAAGCATCCTTTACTGGGGAAACATATATATAGATATTTATATACACGCACCAAAGTGTACAGATTTGCAATGACTTTCTTCTTTTACTTTAAGAGATATGTACTCTTTGCATTTAGAACTTCATCTTCTGTCAAAAACACTTTCATTTACATATTACAGTAATGAGTAATTTGTTCTCTTATGATATCTGCAATATATCTCCTTGCTGGGCTGTATAAGGGGAATAAACTTACACTACCTGCAATTTCATTTTCTGTTCATTTGCCATGAGCATTCTGTTCATTCTTTAAACTTAAAATAAAGATTCTCCTGCAAAATGATTATTCTCATTTCTTCCTACAGAAGGGACAGCAAGATAGTTGATGAAGGAGGTGGGGAAGGTAGATTTACAAAACAGAGTGATAACAGAAACTTCAATTAATATTCAGTCAGGCCACAGTGATTGGCATGGTTCTAGTTCCCTAACCTGGAAAGCAAAAATTAGTTATGAAAACACAAACGTGTGGCAAATTGACAGAAAGTGAGAAAAGAAGGTGCACTGTTTAGTAGCTTTGCTCATAAGCATGTAAAAAACCATCACGGTTTGCAGTGTTTTATTACACAGAACAGACATTTTCTGAACATATTTTTTTTATGCTCATGAGAAAACTGGAATTTGTCATTGACCTAAAAAGAAATATTCAAGAGGAGAAAATAATGTGTTTAAGTTTGAAGAGCAAACCTACTTTATCATTACCAAACATTTCAAGGATGTTGGTATATAGTTACAAACCAAAATATTCTTAAAATAAGAATCTAGATCTTATGTAGGCAACCTAAGTGAACTCAGTGAAAGGTGAATACACCCTGCAGATATTATTGCAATCACTGTTTTTCATGTTCAGGTCTCAAGTCTAGTCAATAGTAAATGGTGAATTAATCCATACTTGCAGAGCAGCAAAAAAAATGACCTCTAATTACTTAATTTGATTGTTAGAGTATCTCAAAAATGTTAGCAAGAACTGCCTTTGGTTTAAAACACACTTAAACCACTGTTACGGACTTACAAATCAGCAATTATCTATTATCAAATAATACAACTCTAACAATGAAAGTCAACTGCTTTAATTAAAGTTCCTTCATCAGCAACATGAAGGAAAATTTTGCCTGCATCTCATTCCAAAGTCTCCCTTAAATACGATTTTGATGGATTATTCAAGACAAGGAAGGCTGATTCATATCCCCAGTAACCAAAAAAGTTTCTTCTTAGTAAGAAAGTGAAAATTTGTTTGAATTAATTTAAAAACACTTTAATTTGCATCATATGTTACTTGCCTATATACCATGAAAATTTGGTATGGTGGGGACAGTACATTTTCAGCATTCATCAGCAGTTCTTGAAGTAAGAACAAATGGTTTTCTTCTCTATTCCTTAAAGGTAAGGGCAACAATACCATAGCATTTACTAGCAAACATAGACCTAGCTTGCTAATATAGTACACATACAAAATTCAGGAGTCAGAAAAAAGTACAAGGGAAGCCAGAATCTTATCTATTCTGAGAAACTGTTTTGATGCTGAATGTAATTCAATTTTAAGAGGCCCAACATATTAAAGATTATTTTCCATGTTGCTTCTATTAAGTAATACTTTTTATTCTTTTAATCTTTCAATTAATTTAGTTTCCCCAATCAAAAAAAAAATGCAAGTATAACCTGATAAGCAACAAATCCACACATTAGAACAGTCCCCTCAATGAAAAACACACATCTTTATTCAGTTAGTTTTTCCTCTTCAGCACGTTTCTCTCGCCTCCTTCGGAGCTGCAGCTGCAGCTGAAGTCTGTTTGTGAAGAAGAGTTGTTTCCAGCCCATTTCTTGTGCCAGTTCTCTCATTTCAGGTGTAATTGTATCACACAAGTTCTCCACAATACCTTCCCATAGTGCGTTACTGTTACATATCTAGTTACAAGAGAAAGCAGAGGCTTAAAAATCATAGTATGTTTATTCATTGCTCACTGATCATTTTTTGCTTGCATGAAGTGTGCGTAGACAACATAACCAGCACATAATGAAGTTAAACCGTCCACCTACTATCTTTAAAGTCATGGTGTCAGCTGAAGCCCGCAATGGCATCGTGGAAGCTTTGTCCAGTGCTGGCAATGCAACCACAGTCTTCTGTTAAAAATTCTAATAGTTTCGTGTTCATGACTTGTTCATGTTCATAAGCACTTTTGGGGTTTATCAAAAGCTTGCACTTTTACAATACATACAGATACAAAAGCAAAACTTTTTTTTTTAAAATCAGAAATGAGATTTCATGAAGCTCTCAAAAGCATTGGAGGGATTAGCCTTTCTCAGCATCTTCCCTATTAAAGAGTGACTTCATAAATAGAAAGAGGTAGAAATATTATGCTAGAAACAGTAAGAAATAAAGTGATGTAATTCATTAGCTAAGACATTGTTTACAAAGAAGATTAGAAAAATGGATTGCATAATTATATATTATCTGGCTATTATAAGAGATACCAGGATCTATTAATATTGATTCTTCTCCTAAATGCTCCTTTTTTTTTTAATGGACTCATACACTCATTTAAAAGGGAGTTGTGCTAGATTACTCCAATGCAAGTGACAGCTTTGTCCTTTATAGTTAGTAATAAACACAGAAATGCCAGAGATCTTGTAGCTTCCATTTTTATGTCCTCCCACCTGTGGAAAGTACTGATATATCAGGGCCATACACTACCTCCCTGCTCAACAACTGGGTGCTTTGAACCTTTCCATTTACTGCAGCAAGTTTTCATCAGAACAGTCCTATTTACACTCTTGTTGAATTGTAAAAATGATCACATCATAGGCACACACAAAAATCTAGGGTATTTTAACAAAGAAAAAACAGCAATTATTGGGGAAAAAATGCTGCAGAAGTCCTGAAGTAAAAATAGAAGGATTTTCACAGTTT